TTAGATCATAGGGCAAAGTGCTGCACCAAAAATTGGAGACACAGATGGGCAGATACAGATAATCACAACATACAAGAGCAAAAACCCAAAAGCAGAAACATCCTCAGGAACCAGCGTCAGTGGAGGAAAACTTACACAGTAACTGACAAATTTCTCTAAGCTTAGTGTGAGCAATTCCACGGGGAGGGACCTGGTCATAGGGGAGCACCCACATTTTTGTGAATTTTACCTGCAAGAGTTCTCACAATGAAGATTAGAGAAAATCCCCTAGCGCTTCCCACAGATGGAGGAGAAAATAAACATTTGAAATTTACCAGAGCACTCTCTTCTTCTTAACAAGGTCTATGGACAAAAGAAATTATTTTACCAGAGCTTAAACTATTGGGGTTTTAGCAGAGCCTAACCTATCTGAGGGAAGAGAAATATTCATCTCTAGCCTTGCATGTGGGAGAAAGGAAATACCCAACTCCAGCCCACTCTAGCCATCTTGACTACCTAAGAGGGTGTGGGAAACTGACATGGACTTCTGAAGTTCATGGCTTAAGAGGTATAAGCTCACTAAAAGACTGAGGATTAAAGAATGGTTCCCCTCCCCACACCTTACCATCACTAAAGGCCAGTACATCATGTCTGCTTTCAACAAAAAATTGTAAAGAACACTAAAAGGTAAAAACACAGTTTGAAGAGATGGGCCAAGCATAAGAACCAGCCTCAGGTATGGCAGGGATGTCAGACTTAGACCAGGAATTTAAAACAACTATGATTAATATACGAATGGCTCTAATGGATAAAGTGAATAACATGTATGAACAGATGGGCAATGTAAGCAGAGAGATGAAAATTCTAAGAAAGGGTCAAAAGGAAAAGATAGAGATCAAAAACATTGTCACAGCAATGAAGAATGCCTTTGATGGGCCCATTAGCAGACTGGACACAGCTGAGGAAACCATCTTTGGGCTTGAACTTGAGTATATGTCAGTAGAAACTTCCAAAGTGGAAAAGCAAAGAGAAAAAAGACTGGAAAAAACAAAAAGTAAAACAGAAAACAATTTCCAAGAACTGCGGGACAACTACAAAAAGTGTAACATACTCATAATGGGAATACCAGAAGAAGACGATGCAGAGAAAGGGACAGAAATATTTGAAGCAATGATAACTGAGAATTTCTTCCAAATTAAGGTCAGATATCAAACTATAGATCCAGGAAGCTCAGAGAAGAATAAATGTCTAGGGACCTTCAAGATGATGGAGGCGTAAGACAAGGAGATCACCTTCCTCCCCACAAATACGTCAGAAATACATCTACATGAGGAACAGCTCTGGCAGAACACCTACTGAACACCGGCAGAAGACCTCAGACTTCCCAAAAGGCAAGAAAATCCCCAGGTAGCTGGGTAGGGCAAAAGAAAAAAGGAAAAAACAGAGACAAAAGAATAGGAATGGGACCTGCACCTCTGGGAGGGAGATGTGAAGGAGGAAAAGTTTCCACACACTAGGAAGCCCCTTCACTGATGGAGACGGGGGATGGGTAGGTGGAAGCTTCGGAGCCACGGAGGAGAGCGCAGCAACAGTGGTGCAGAGGGCAAAGCGGAGAGATTCCCACACAGAGGATCGGGGCCAACCAGCACTCACCATCCTGAGAGTCTTGTCTGCTCACCCACCGGGGTGGGTGGGGGCTGGAAGCTGAGGCTCCAGTTTCGGAAGTCAGATCCCAGAGAGAGGACTGGGGTTGGCTGCATGAAAACAGCCTGAAGGGGGCTAGTGTGCCACAGCTAGCTTGGAAGGAGGCCAGTAAAAAGTCTGGAATGGCTTAAGAGGCAAGAGACCATTGTTTCGGAGTGTGTGAGGCGAGGGGATCCAGAGCACTGACTAAACGAGTTCAAGAGAGGAGCACAAGCCATAGCTATCAGTGCAGACACCAGAGGTGGGCATGAGACGCTAACGCTGCTGCTGCAGCCACCAAGAAGCCCGTGTGCAAGCACAGGTCACTATCCACACCTCCCCTCCTGGAGCCTGTGCAGCCCGCCACTGCCAGGGTCCCGTGATCCAGGGACAACTTCCCCGGGAGAACAAACGGCGCACCTCAGGCTGTTGCAATGTCATGCCGGCCTCTGCAGCCACAGACAGGCCCCCATTCCATACCCCTCCCTCCCCCCAGCCTGAGTGAGCCAGAGCCCCCTAATCAGCTGCTCTGTTAACCCCCTAATATCTGGGCAAAGAACAGACACCAGAGGGTGACCTACACGCAGAGGCGGGGCCAAATCCAAAGCTGAACCCCAGGAGCTGTGAGAACAAAGAAGAGAAAGGGAAATCTCTCCCAGCAGCCTCAGGAGCAGCGGATTAAATCTCCACAGTCAACTTGATGTACCCTGCATCTGTAAAATACCTGAATAGACAACGAATCATCCCAAAATTGAGGCAGTGGACTTTGGGAACAACTGTAGACTTGGGGCTTCCTTTCTGCATCTAATTTGTTTCTGTTTTATGTTTATCTTAGTTTAGTATTTAGAGCTTATTATCATTGGTAGATTTGTTTATTGATTTGGTTGCTCTCTTCTTTTTTTTTAATATATACAAATATTTTTTTTCCTTTTTCTCTTTTTGTGAGTGCGTATGTCTATGTTTCTTTGGGTGATTCTGTCTGTATAGCTTTGCTTTTACCATTTGTCCTAGGGTTCCCTCTGTCCGTTTGTTTGTTTTTGTTTGTTTGTTTTTAGTATAGTTTTTAGCACTTGATATCACTGGTTGATTTGTTTTTTGGTTTGGTTGCTCTCTTCTTTCTTTCTTCTTCTTTTTTTATTACTTTTTATTTTTTATTTTTAATAATTTTTCTTTATTCTTTATGTTAATAATTTTATTTTATTTCATTTTTTCTTTCACTTTTTTCCCCCTTTTATTCTGGGCCGTGAGGAGGACAGGGTCTTGATGCTCCATCCAGGTGTCAAGCCTGAGCCTCTGAGTTGGGAGAGCCAAGTTCAGGACATTAGTCCACCAGAGACCTCCAAGCTACGTGTAATATCAAATGGCAAAAGCTCTCCCAGAGATCTCCACCTCAACACTAAGACCCAGCTCCACTCAACCACCAGCAAGCTACAGGGCTGGACACCCTATGCCAAACAATGAGCAAGACAGGAACACTACACCACCCATTAGAAGAGATGCTGCCTAAAATCATAATAAGTTCACAGACACCCCAAAACACACCACCAAACATGGTCTGGCTCACCAGAAAGACAAGATCCAGCCTCATCAACCCAGAACACAGGCACCAGTCCCCTCCACCAGGAAGCCTACACAACCCACTGAACAAACCTTACTCACTGGGGGCAGACGCCATAAACAATGGGAACAACAAACCTGCAGAATGCAAAAAGGAGGCCCCAAACACAGTAAATTAAGTAAAATAAGAGGACAGAGAAATAAACAGCAGATGAAGGATGAAGGTAAAAACCCACCAGACCAAACAAATAAAAAGGAAATAGGCAGTCTACCTGAAAAAAATTCAGAGTAATGATAGAAAAGATGATCCAAAATCTTGGAAATAGAATGGAGAAACTACAGGAAACATTTAACAAGAACCTAGAAGAACTAAAGAGCAAACAAACATTGATGAACAACACAATAAATGAAATTATCTAAAAGGAATCAATAGCAGAATAACAGAAGCAGAAGAATGGATAAGTGACCTGGAAGATAAGAGTGGAAATAACTACTGAAGAGCAGAATAAAGAAAAAAGAATGAAAAGGATTGAGGATGGCCTCAGACACATCTGGGATGACATTAAACACACCAACATTCAAATTATATGGGTCCCAGAAGAAGAAGAGAAAAAAAAAGGGACTGAGAAAATATTTGAAGAGATTATAGTTGAAAATTTCCCTAATATGGGAAAGGAAATACTCAATCAAGTCCAGGAAGCACAGAATACCATACAAGATCCAAGAAAAAACATGTCAAGACACATATTAATCAAACTCTCAAAAATTAAATACAAAGAAAAAATATTAAAAGCAGCAAGGAGGGCTTCCCTGGTGACGCAGTGGTTGAGAGTCTGCCTGCCAATGCAGGGGACACGGGTTCGTGCCCCGGTCCGGGAAGATCCCACATGCTGCGGAGCGGCTGGGCCCCTGAGCCATGGCCGCTGAGCCTGCGCGTCCGGAGCCTGTGCTCCACAACAGGAGAGGCCACACAGTGAGAGGCCCACGTACTGAAAAAAAAAAAAATTGCCCAAGGCTTGATTTGTGACCCAAGATATAATCTATTACAGATTATAAAACTATAAATCTATAAAACTCTATTGAATTAGAGTTTTCTCTGGATATGCCGTCCCAGAGATCTCTTAGGCTGTCTTCATTTCTTTTCATTCTTTTTTCTTTATTCTGGTCCACAGCAGTGAAGTCCACCATTCTGTCTTCCAGGTCACTTATCCGTTCTTCTGCCTCAGTTATTCTGCTATTGATTCCTTGTAGTGCAGTTTTCATTTCAGTTTGTGTTGTTCATCTCTGTTTGTTTGTCCTTTAATTCTTCTAGGTCTTTGTTAAACATTTCTTGCATCTTCTCGATCTTTGCCTCCATTCTTTTTCTGAGGTCCTGGATCATCTTCACTGTCATTATTCTGAATTATTTTTCTGGAAGGTTGCCTATCTCCACTTCATTTAGTTGTTTTTCTGGGGTTTTATGTTGTTCCTTCATCTGGTACATAGTCCTCTGCCTTTTTATTTTATCTATCTTTCTGTGAATGTGATTTTCTTTCCACAGGATGCAGAATTGTAGTTCTTCTTGCCTCTGCTGTCTTCCCTCAGGTGGATGAGGCTATCTAAGAGGCTTGTGCAAGCTTACTGATCAGAGGGACTGGTGGTGGATAGAGCTGGGTGTTGCTCTGGTGGGCAGAGCTCAGTAAAATTTTAATCCGCTTGTCTGCTAATGGGTGGGGCTGAGTTCCCTTCCTGTTAGTTTTTTGGCCTGAGGCAACCCAGCACTGGAGGCTACAGGCTCTTTGGTGGATCTAATGATGGACCCTGGGAGGGCTCACACCAAGGAGTACTTTCTAGAACTTCTGCTACCAGTGTCCTCGTCCACACAGTGAGCTACAGCCACACTCTGCCTTGGCAGGATACCCTCCAGCACTATCAGGTAAGTCTGATTCAATCTCCTATGGCATCACTGTTCCTTCCCCTGGGTCCTGATGCGCACACTACTTTGTGTGTGCCCTCCAAGACTGGAGTCTTTGTTTCTCCCAGTCCTGTCAAAGTCCTGCAATCAAATCCTGCCAGCCTTCAATGTCTGATTCTCTGGAAATTCTTCCTCCTGTTGCTGGACCCCGAGGTTGGGAAGCCTGACATGGGGCTCAGAACCTTCACTCCAGTGGGTGGACTTCTGTGGTATAATTGCTCTCCAGTTTGTGAGTCACCCATGCAGTGGTTATGGGATTTGATTTTATTGTGTTTGTGCCCCTCCTACCATCTCATTGTGGCTTCTCCTTTGTCTTTGGATGTGGGGTATCTTTTTTGGTGAGTTCCAGTGTCTTCTTGTCGATGATTGCTCAGTACTTAAGTTGTGATTCTGGTGCTCTCACCAGAGGGAGTCAGTGCATGTCCTCTGCTCAGCCATATTGAACCAATCTCCTGGATTTTTTTTAAGGTATGCGTCTAATGATGTATTTTCTTTAAAAGTACTATTTTAGATATTTCCTGTTGTGGACAAATAACCTGAATTCTGCTTCTGTTAAAGCAGATGTGGAAACGAAATGAGCAAGGTTAGTCCTGACATCTACTCTCAGAACTTGAGTATGAACTGCTTTACTACAATCCACCTGCTGTAATGAGCAAGGCATTGGGTAACAATAGGGGCAGGTATAGGAGTGATTGGAGTAGAGCATCACCCAAATCTCCATTATCGTGCAAAGGGGAGGAAGGGCAACCCTCAGCACTTCTTGAGATAAACATGTTGAAGATTTTGGAGGCAGAAAATAAACAAATGTCAAGAGGTACTTGTCATTCTCACCCAGGAGTCTTCCTCAGGCTCTGGTGTCTTTAACAAACCTCCGACTTTGTTTCTCTTGAAAATGCTTGTGTCCCTGGTGCTCTAAAGGAAGTGTAGATACTGGGTTTCAGAACTATTATTAGGGGAGGAAGAGAGGAATGGAAAATAGAAGCTTCCCTGACCTTGGTCTTTCTCCTGCCCTGGGGCTTTCCTCTGGGCTAAAGTGGCTATCTACCTTTTGTTTGTTATCTTCATCTTCCTCTGGAAATATTTTCCACCCCAACCTGGGAAATGGCTATGGAATGATGTCACCAGGCTATTTTAAAAGGTGTGCATCCTGTGAGGGCTCACACTCCATCACCTCACAGTTGCTTGTGTGTCTCATGAAGAGCTATCCCCCAGACTGGGGAGAAGAGACCCAGAATGGATAGTCTTCAAGGCGAAGAGGAGCACACTCATCCTTGCTGTGGGCAAAGGACAGCAGCAGTGTTGCGATTGTTTTTACACAAGAACTTCCGTAAAAATAGAGAACGGCCCTGTCAGTATCTGAAGTCTGGTCACCGTTGTTGCCAACCCAGGGGAATGTTGCACAGGCCTGTGAGGATGGACTACAGCAGTGGTCCCTAACCTTTTTGGCACCAGGGACCGGTCTCATGGAAGACAATTTTTCCATGGACCGGGGGCAGGGGGGTTGGGGATAGTTCAGGCGGTAATGCCAGTGATGGGGAGCGCTCGCCCACCGCTCACCACCTTCTTTGCGGTCCAGTTCCTAACAGGCCGAGGACAGCTACCAGTCTGCAGCTGAGGGATTGGGGACCCCTGGACTAGAGGACTCAGGAGCCGTTAGTGAAAATCATTAACCCCACTCCCCACACCCGTCCCCAACACAGCTGATGTTTCTACAGGGTTTTCTGGTCTTGCTCTCTCATCCTTGTTCCTTGCTCTGGTGCTTCCCTTGTCTGAGAGATACACCCTCCCTCAGAGCTACAGGTTTGTTCCTAAGTACTCAGAGGACTAACTATGCCCCCACGTGGAGAACACAGGGAAATCCTCTAGCTTTTTGCACTCTTATTCATTTATTTTCAAGGCAAATCAAATAGGCTAATTTAACTGTCACACTTCTTTTGTTTTTCTATTTTTACTCTAGGTTATTTGAGTATTTAAAATGGGATTCATTTTTAAACAACAACGACCTACTCTCTAGCACCAGGAACTATGTTCAATATCTTGTAATAACCTACAATGAAGAAGAATCTGAAACAGAATAGATACATACGTATAACTGAATCACTTTGCTGTACACCTGAAAGTAACACACTATTGTAATTCAACTCTACCTCAATGAAAAAAGTGGGATTCATTTTAGGAAGGATTGTTGGTAGTAGCCAACATCCTTCATGGAAGATATTTAGGGTAAAATCATGAAAAGACTTCTCCTTTTACTCATACAGATATAATCAAAACACTCTGAACAGCTGCTCTTATTTGGTTGGCACTTTTTGGGAACCACAATATGCAATAATACTTAAAAAAATCAGTTCCATAGGAGAACACTGTGTGTGCATTGAAACAAAAAGTCTTTACAAAGCATGTCAGAGGAAGTGGGACTGGCTAGCCCATTAGCTGTTGTCACTCACATGATGCTGTTCTGTGTGGTGATCAGTGCAGCACAGCAGTTAGAAGCATAAACCCTGGCCTCATAGGGCTTGCGTTCAAAGCCCTGCTCTACCTATCATGCACTGTATGAGTCTATGGGTGATTTCTTCACACTCTGTGACTCAGTCTCCTCAGCTATAGAATGAGGTAATAAGTAAAGATACTTAATGCTTTTCCTGGCACTTTGCAAGTTCTCAATTTATATAAGCTATCACTATTGTTAACTGTAACATGTTACTGGTCATATCCTATCTTATCATAAAAGAAACATCCCAAATCATTGGCTTGTCTTTCCCATGGAAGTATTGTAAATTAAGAAGTGCTGGGTTTAGAAAATATTTGATTGACAAGGGATCTCCTTATTTAGAGGATATTAGCGTTCCCCTAATTTTCCCTAGGAAGGATATTTTTAATATAACTTTGTTTCATCAACAAAAAGACAATTTTTTCAAAGTCTGGACCCTACTTCAAACCCTCCACCTCTCTGTGCTCCTCTGCTGCACTTGTGAGCCCCTGATGAGTCTGTCCAGTCTTTTTATTTTTTTATTGAAATACAGTTAATCTACCATGCTGTGTTAGTTTCATGTATAGCAAAGTGATTCAGTTTTATATATACTGTATACATATGTGTATATATATTCTTTTTTCAGATTCTTTTCCATTATAGATTGTTACAAGATATTGAATATAGTTCCCTGTGCTACACACTAGGACCTTGTCATTTATCTATTTGATATATAGTAGTTTGTATCCGTTAATCCCAAACTTCTAATTTATCCCTCCCCCCTCCACTTTGGTAACCATACATTTGTTATCTATGTCTGTGGGTCTGTTTCTGTTTTGCAAATAAGTTCATAAGTATCTTTTTTTAGATTCTACATATAAGTGATATCGTAATGATATTTGTCTTTCTCTGTCTGACTTATTTCACTTAGTATGATAATCTCTAGTCCATCCATGTTGCTGCAAATGGCATTATTTTGTTCCTTTATATGGCTGAGTAATATTCCATTGTGCGTATGTACCACATCTTTATCCATTCATCTGTCGATGGACACTTAGGTTGCCTCCACATCTTGGCTATTGTAAACAGTGCTGCAATGAACACTGGGATGCATGTATCAAAAAAAAAAATTTTTTTAAACTTTCGTTGTCTCAGTTCTGTTTTATTTTGTTTCTTTGTTTTTGCTTTCCTCTAGTATTTTAGTTTCTTTTGCACTCCTCTGTTCTCATTTAAGCTCATTTCCCAGGCTTCCATCTCCTGTTTTTGTTTCTCAGTCTGGGGCCCTGACCCCCAGGATTGTAAGCAGGGTCCCCTCTAGGCTTCACTGTAAAGAGAGGTCACAAGAGGGAAGTGTACAGAAAGAGAACATGTAATCGTTTGGCCATCAGCAGTGGTCCCTTTCCTAATGAGGGACAGGGGAAAGGGAGAGGAATGATGTCAACTGATATTAAATTGAAAACATGTGAACGCCCAGCACTGTCTCCTTTGCCCAGCCCCACTGCCTCTGTGAGTTGTGTTCACTAACCTGGTGTTCACCCAGGACCCAGGATGAACACCTACATTTTCTGAGCATTTAAAATTTATTCATTTGGCATTTTCCTCTTCTTTAAAGTATGGGTAAGAACATATTAACTAATTCTAAAAGAAATTTAGAAAAACATGTGTGTGCACCTTTCTCCTCCTTCCCCCAGTTGTTAGCCATTCTTTGTCACCTCTGATATTTGTCACCACTGGAATAGCATATAACTCTTTTTGCCTTCTCTGCCCTGGCCACTGCCCTGTCTTACCTTTTCTGAGCCCTCCACTTGATCTACTACACCGTGTTTCCTCCTTTCTTCCTTACCTTCTTTTTTTTTTTTTTTGCGGTATGCGGGCCTCTCACTGTTGTGGCCTCTCCGGTTGTGGAGCAGAGGCTCCAGCGGCGCAGGCTCAGCGGCCATGGCTCACAGGCCCAGCCGCTCCACGGCATGTGGGATCTTCCCGGACCGGGGCACGAACCCGTGTCCCCTGCATCGGCAGGCGGACTCTCAACCACTGTGCCACCAGGGAAGCCCCTGAACCAGCATTTTTTAAAATTAAGTTTTATTGGAGTATGGTTGCTTTACAATGTTGTGTTAGCCTCCACTGCACAACAAAATGAATCAGCCGTACACATACAGATATTCCCTACCTTTTGAACTTCCCTGCCATTTAGGTTACCACAGTGCATTAGGTAGAGTTCCCTGTGCTATACAGTATGTTCCCATCAGTTGTCTATTTTATACATAGTATCAATAATATATATGTGTCAATCCCGGTCTCCCAATTCCTCCCACCCCACCCCTTTCCCCCTTGGTATCCATACATTTTGAACCAGCATTTTTACATCTAGTAATTTATCATAAGAAAATCATTAATCCTAAGAAAACAAATACTTAGCTGAAGAAGTTTATGGCAGGGCTATTTATAAGAGTGAGTTTTTTAAGACAGCCTAACTGTAGAATCTAGAATACCTCTATCCAAAGGAATTCTATGCCACCATTAAAAATGATATTGACATAGGAAAATATCTTGATAAATTGTTAAGTGCAAGAATTAGGTTAAAGGTATCTGTATAGAGTATGTACAATATGCTCCCATCTTTGGAAAATACATACATATATGCATAGAAAAAGTCTGAAAAGTTTTCAGACAAAATGCCAATAATGGTTAATTCTTGGGTGGTGGAGTTATGAGAATTTTAATTTTCTTCTATTTCTTAACTTCAATTTATTTTCCAATGAATGAGTAGTAATTATATATATTTTTAAAACTTCCCCCCAAAATCACCACTACTCTTGTGAGAAGCACCAATGGATATGATTTCAGTCCTTATGCTCTGAGAAGTGTGCAAGGTATTGTCAGAAACTATGGGATGTGAAAGAAGTGTACATGAAGGTCGTTCAGAGGGTTTTGACTTATAAAGCACCCACATAACCTTGTTATCAAACAGATTTAATCTTATTAAAGAAATCTATCTAGGTGGATCCATATTTTGCAAAATAATTTCATATTGACAGAGAATATTTTCCTACTGACTCCTCAGTGTTTAATGGCTCTGTGTAAGTTGCATGAAACACTACCACCTTCTGCTACACAGTTCTTCAACCCGTAACAGCACTTGAACCTACAATAATGCTGGTCTCAAAGAAGATGACACCAGGGCGTGGAGGTTAAAGAGGCTCTGTTGGCTCTGAGCATGAGGAGGAATTAGGAGGCAAACTCGAGGCGATGAAGGAAGTGTGAATGCGGCAGAATGGGGAAGGAGGGTCATTAGAGTCTCCAACCGCAGACAGTCTCGTGTCCTGCCCCATTCTTGGCATGTGAGGACCAGAGGTTCAAAGATCTGGATTCAAGTCAAGCGACATGAATGTTAAACATGTAAATAAAAATCTGAAATCTGTCTAAAAGTTATTACATTTTAAGACAATCATGTATATACAGAGCATTACATTAAACAACAAGCACACTCTTTTTACCTAAAAACAAAACAAAACAGAACCAAAAAACCCACACCAACTTCCTAGTAATTTACTTTCTCACCATAGTACTTCAATTTCTGATGGATTTTGGCACACATATTGTATGTTCACCTGTAAAAGAATTTCACTTAAAGGCACCTATAGAGCTGACAGATGGACGCTTAGGAGAATAACTGAAAGTCATTGACAAATTGGAATGAGCCCAAGATACAGAATGGAAAAACCCAAGCTTCTATAGATGTTTTCCAGACTTCTTTGAGTTCAGGATCGTCTTATTTAATTCAAGTGGCAATTCCTAGCACCCTAGGATCCCTGAACTCTGCAGAGGAAATGATTCAGAAGCAAAGGGGAATAAGTCATCTAACAATCGGAATTAAGCCTCATGTCAGTAGGTGGCATGGATACATGCACTTAGTCAACAAACATTTATTGAGCACCTCCATAATAAATCATGGGACCCAAAGATGATTTCCTAGACAAAGATGTGACTCAAGATCATTCATTCAGTACGTGTCCTCTTTAGCTCATAAGCAGTCTACGTACCTAGTCCAGTTTGAATGAGCCTCAAGGGCAGCCGTGAGAAAAGAAGTGACAATGGTGCAGCATGTAGTGTAGGGATGTGTCTGTGTCAAAGAGGAAGAGGTGCCAGCAGGATTTAGCTTTCCTTTCTTCCTGGGGGTCTTTGCCTTGAGAGCCCAGGAAACACTGCAGTCGTCTCCTTTTTCCTTGTCAGCTCTGTTTTTCCAGCCTCTATCCTCTCAATTAAAGTATGGTACCTAGAAGAATTTCTCTGATTCATCGTACTCAGGATGACCATGGGAGCTACAGGTGGGTATAGGAAGAGAGGAGGCTGCTGGTGCTGTTTGGCCTCCTAGGAACTGCCTCAGTGCTCATGGACTTGAGATGTAAAGCTGCATCAGTGTGTAAGAGGCCAGGTATTTTCCGTGTGTGTTGAGAAGCAGAGAGAAGTCTAGGATAATTAAATGAGGAACTCTGGTTCTTCTACTTTCCCCTTTGCAAAGAGTTAACTCTCTAAATGCCAAAATACTTTTTGCGTCTTCTCTTACTAAAATTATTGACGAAATATATCATTTTATTTCTTGCTTTAGCAAATAGAACCTTTCGAATAAATACTCAAAGTGTCTTATGGTTCAAGAACAATGTTTAACCCTAAGCAACTGAAGATGTCTAAGAATATTAAAATCACTTTAGAAGTTGTTATGATTGTTTACCTGTCATTTCCCCATAAAATTAGAGTGCTGACTGTGGAAAACAAAAATCTGATTATTTGAAGGTTCCAATTATTTGGATTACTATTATTCTAACCTGCCTTCCCCGTTCATGAACTTGAGGTAAACTTGAAACTTAAGTGTTTTGGGAAACTAGAAGAATGACTAATTCCTAGACAAAGAGAGGCTCAAAATGTTTTTGCTTTTTTGGGGGGGGGTCAGATTTCTTTGCATTATATCAGATCATTGAAAAATATTCCAAACAAGCTATGAATGGAAAAAAACTGGAAAAACACAGAGGAAGTCTAATTGTTGAAATGGTATTTTCACATTAATTTCATAAAAGTAATCATTAGGTCAAAGTGGTTTTATGTGGATTAAACTGCAATAAACAGCAATGGAAGATTCTTATACTGTGAATGGCATTCTTCACTGCTTTCCTCGCCTCTTTATTATTGTGTATTTCCTGTCTCTTTAGGAGCAATCCATTCCCGGAAGGTCCGGACGGACAGTCATCCTGGTCTGGCTGAATCCACATGCACACCTGTGCTCTCACGCATCTTCTCTTCACAATGTTCACCAGCCAGGCAGAGTGAGCTCTACTCAGCATACTCCTCAAATGCTGTTTGGATGGTGCTGTAAAAATGACACGCACTGTTGTTCGTTTCACCTGTTCTCAGCACTGAGCATTGTGGAAATTACTGTTTCTGGAGACAACATCTGTTCTTATTAAAGAGAAGTCCGGTGTTCTCTGGGGCCAGCTAGGTGTTCCATTAAATGTGATCCATGCTGCAAGGTACAAAGCTTATCATTTATTCGCCTTGAGATGTTATCGTGAATGTGCATTTGCGTGAGTCTAATGGCTATAATACAGTGCACTAGAACAGGACCCTGCCGTTTAAGAGCTATTTCACTATGGGTCTGAGAAAGTTCCATTTCTCAGGGACTATTCAGCTCAATGGCCGTCTCTCTTTTTTAAATGTGGTAGCATATCTTAAACATATGTATATAAGTGTGTGCTTACATATATAATAGGGGCATGGACTTAAACAAGATAGGTGTTATGAATACTTGCAAGTCCTGCCACAATGAGCTTTCTTCCAAGAAATGAGAAGTAAAGTTGCTTCTGGCAGTTACATTTTAAATCAAAACACTACCAAGATGGGCAGTCAGTCCCCTTAAAGAAGAAGAGTGACTCCCAGGGTGTGGCATGTGGGCCACAGAAGACCTCCAACTACAGGGTGTGTAATTGACCAAGGGCCTATCTTCCTGCCCACAGGCTGCTTCAGCCAATCACTGAGCCAGGCAGGAACACGAAGGCAGATCCATTCTTGGGAGTCAAGGGAATTCCTCCTTCAGCCCACTTTGCCTCTAATCACTTCGTCCTACTGCTCCCCCACCCCCTCCCCCAGTGGCTTGGATGAACTTCCTTAGCCTGTGTGGCAGTCTTCCATTCTCCCTTCTCTCCCTTTCTCCTTCATTCGGGGTCAGACTTGTCTTGTGGTCCAATGGCCTTCCCAGCCTTCCCTGGCTCCTTCCCCCATTAAAATCCATGCAAGTTCAATCTCATCTTGACATCTGCTACCTGGACTAACATAAAATGAACTGGAGCTTGATTCATTAGCATATTAATACAATTAAGGGAAAATGTTACACTCAGAAAGAGGTTGGTCAGTTTAGAGAGCTCTGCAAAGGGTGCCAAGATCTTAGCTTGTGCTCATCTGACCAGAGAAGATGACAACATTCCAGCCCAAAGATTATCTTCACTGTGATGTGTCTGGTGCCATTAGGTATTTCATTCCTCTGACTAACTCGCCTGACTCTGAGTTCATCCTCCCCAATCCAATGTTCAGTTGACTGTATAACTTCTTAGTAGGTCTCTCTTTTAGGAGGAATTGCATACATGAACTATAGTCCACAAGGGAATTCTTGGGGATTTTGAGAACTGCATACTAGAGACTCAGAACTGTGACTACTGAGTGGACCATCTATCACCAACAGCAGGATCTCTGGATGCTTGAGTCAAGGGGCGAAGGGCAGCCTGGTCTCTGTAGGGGTGATGGGGCAGGCACTGGGGAGGAAAACTTAATGGTGTCTGGCACGTATACAGCAAGTAGTAAATGTTGGCAGTCATTCCTGTTATTAGGTTATGGATAAAATTGTCATCTAGAGGGAAAAATTTTAAGGTTTCTACAAACATTAGTGTCTTAGCTTCCCAGGACTGCCATAAAAAAGTACCACAAATTGAGTGGCTTAAAATAACAGAAAATGATTGATTCACAGTGCCAGAGGCTAGAAGTCTAAAATCAAAGTGTTGGCAGGGTTAGTTTTTTTTCTGAGGGCTCTGAGGGAAAGTCTATTCCATGTCTCTCTCCTATTTTCTGGTGATAGTCCTTGGCATTCTTTGGCTCATAGATGCATCATTTCAATCTCTGCTTCCATCTTCACATTGCATTTTCCCTGTGAATCTCTGTGTTTTCACGTGGCCACTGTCTTCTTATAAGGACAAGAGTCATGTTCGATCAGGGGTCTACACTACCCCAGAGTGAACTCTTCTTGACTTGTTACAGCTGTACCTGCCCTATTTCCAAATAAGGTCACATTCTGAGGTACTGGGGGTTAGAACTTCAGCAAATCTTTTTGGGGGACACAGTTCAACCCATAACAATCCGATTTTATAGAATCAACAGATTCTATAAAATTCTTGACAGTATAGTTCCATAATAGATGATGAATATAAATTGGGATGCACTTAGGGTCATTACAAGCTTTACAGTTGATATTTGTTCAAATTGGCTTAAAGGAGGGGTGGGGTAGAGAAGAGAGGAAGAGAGGAATGGGACCCAGAGGAGGAGGGGGCCCACAGACTGAGTGCATGGCTAATTTCTACGGGACAAAGGACTTCCTTGCTGCTTGAACTCCTGACAGATTTACGATGAGGATTGTGCCCTGAGTCATTTTCACCCCACACCCCTGCCCAATCGGACACACACACTTTGTCCAACAATCCAGTCTCCACATATTTTCTTCTAATCCCTTTGCCTCTTACGCTTTGTCTCTCCAGTCCGTCTGAGAGGCTGATACAAATAAAATATATCTACTGCGCTGTAATATTTAAATAATGAAAAAGCACTTCTAGTCTCCGCATTCAAATTTCCTGGCAATGTTAGATTGCTTGCTCTATTTTAGCATATTAACTATGGGCAACATACATTAACTCTGTTTTACCTCTTTATTTTGTGACGTTAACATTTAACTTTCAGATAATCATTTAGATGTGCACCCCTGGAAAATATGGCTCATAATTACCTCAGTATTTACATTCCTCAGGGTTGAAGCACAGCAGTTTGAGTGGATACTGTTTAAGAATTAATATGGGTAGATGAAAATGACAGAGAATTCTAAAATGGCCCAGTGGCTTAGGGAGAATAGCAATCTCCAGCAATCCCTTGTGTTTGATTTTGAAAAAAAAAAAAAGCAAGGCAGCTGTTGGATGCTCTTAGGCTACTCTGCATTTACGGAATATTCCACTGGGTTGTATGTATTCAGGTCACATACACAATGAGATTTCCTGCAGTGACAGGACAGATAAAAATGCTGTGCAACTCGGTGATAATTGTGCTCCATTTAGGCAAACCGTCAACTGGTGCATTTTTATATTTTCTCAGAAGCCTGGGAGATGCTTTTGTGTTCATGTCTTAAATATGAATTCATTAGCACCCAAAGAATAATGGGATGTGTTTTGAAATGCATTTTAATGAGAAATAAGCATGAACAGGCTTTCAGAATTCATGTTTCAATATCACTTTAAAGCTATTAATTAATTAGAGGTTATTTCCTCAAATTTAGGAGTAAATAAACCTTTTCCTTCTATTTTCTAGGAGTGTTTTGCCCAAAGCCTGATAACATATTTTGAATATCCATTGTTTCTACCTATTATTATTAGTATTGTTATTGGGTTAGAGCAGAAGGTTTAGGATCTCTTAACCACAGAAGGAGAGGCTGGGGAGAAAGGAATATTAAGGTAATCCTTTTTTCTAATTTTTTTTCTTTTTTTTAGTTCAAGGTATGACCTAGAGTCAAGATGAAAGATTGTGTACAGTCTATGAAATATCTGTGGTTCTCACCACTCCTAGTTACTAAGCACTGATGTTATCTAACCCTTTGTGGCATATCTGTTGGACTTTTAAATCTTTCTAGAAGATAATCTCCTTGGTGTGCAATACTATGCTGGTAGAATTGTTGGATTTTGACTCACTGCATATCTGCAAAGCTGACTTGAGGGCTCCTCAAAGATGTGGAAACTAGTGCAAACATGCTTGGATATTTGCAAGAAGTAAGCAAGAAGTCGGCCATCGCAAGGAAAGGATGGGCATAACACTGAAGCTATGAACACTTAAAATGTTTCTTGTGATAAACAAGACAGAAAATGTCTAACACAATTGAAAATGTCTAACACTAATTTCCAAAGAAATGAGTGATAAGCTAGATGCCTTTCCAGATGCCTTAGCAAAGAAAATCATTATTAAAATATTGTATAAATTCCCAAAGCTGAAACAAGCCTAAGAGGAATATAAGTTACCTTAGGAAAGAGAACGACTCTCTTCTGTCTACTCTCAGTAACTCATGCCATCTCTTCACATCTACATCATTCTCTGGCTTTCTGTATACCCACACTAAAATGGTAGCCACTAAGCTCATGTGAATATTTAGACATAAATGTAAATTAATTAAAATTAAATGAAATTTAAATGGTTCTGAAGAACCTAGGGTCAGGACAGGAATAAAGACACAGACATGGAGAATGGACTTGAGGACACGGGGAGGGGGAAGGGTAAGCTGAGACGAAGTGAGAGAGTGGCATGGACTTATATATACACTACGAAATGTGAAATAGATAGCTAGTGGGAAGCAGCTGCATAGCACAGGGAGATCAGCTTGGTGCTTTGTGACCACCTAGGGGGTGGGATAGGGAGGGTGGGAGGGAGGGAGACGGAGGAGATATGGGGATATATGTATATGTAGCTGATTCACTTTGTTATAAACCAGAAACTAATACACCATTGTAAAGCAATTATACTCCAATAAAGATGTTTAAAAAAATGAAAGAAATGTAACCATGATACATTTGTATAGTGAAGTGCAGTTGGTATCTTGAGATACTTGGAGTCCAAATAATGGGCACTTCATAGGGATAATTTAATTTAATCTTCATTTAATCTTTTAACAGCCTTATTATTTAACTGTTTATCACATTTGCCATGTTGTGGTATGTTAACTTGTTTGTTCATATCCTTTGCTATATAGTATTCCATTAAATGAATATGCCCCAATTTATTTGAAAAAAAAATTAAATGAAATTTAAAATTTAGTTCCTCAGTTTTGTTTGTTTTAACTTTCCCTCTGTAATATTTAGTTTGATGAAAAGAGTAGAGGATTAGGAGTCAAGAGACCTGGGATGTAGCCCAGGGTGTGTAACTGACTGGAAATGACTTTGGACAAGTAAACTATATTCTGAGTCAGTTTCCTTATCAAAAGATAAGTTTCCGGGGCTTCCCTGGTGGCGCAGTGGTTGAGAATCTGTCTGCTAATGCAGGGGACACGGGTTTGAGCCCTGGTCTGGGAAGATCCCACATGCCACGGAGCAACTGAGCCCGTGCACCACAACTACTGAGCCTGCGCACCACAACTACTGAGCCTGCGCGTCTGGAGCCTGTGCTCCGCAACAATAGAGGCCGCGATAGTGAGAGGCCCGCGCACCGCGATGAAGAGTGGCCCCCGCTCGCCACAACTAGAGAAAGCCCTCGCACAGAAACGAAGACCCAACACAGCCCAAAATAAATAAATTAATTAATTAATTTTTTTAAAAAAAGATAAGTTTCCATATTCAGGGCTGATATTTACTTGATATGCTTCAGGGTGGCCACACTGTTTTTTAAATTATTGAAATAGTCTCACACCAGTTGGTAAACAGCACCCCTTCTCCAGCCACCCCCAGATCCACACCTGGGATCCTCCCATCTGCTGGTGAGGTAAAACTGGAAGGGTTAATGCCTGAAACAGTACAGGCCTCCCAGGACCCTGCTTCAGCCTATAGCTGGCATTCATTCTGATCATCAGTTTTCATGCCATAATGCTTATTAAATATTTTGGATATATACGCATCCTGCATGCACCCAAATATTGTGTACAACAGTCCCATCTATTGTGTGTATAGGTTGTCTGTTTGGCTTAGTTTAAGTCTGAAGTGTAGACTCAAAGCTGGTAAATTATTTAAGGTATATATTATGTCAGGCTTTCAGCAAACGAGTCAAAAACCTCATCCGTCTGAGGAGTGGGAAGGGAGGAAAATGAGGACAGGTTTGGAGCATTCACATTCTGGAATGCTCTCCATATATTGATAGCTATAAGTTCTGTGAGCAAATTCATGTTGTTGAGTCACTCTATGTCAGTAGTCAGCTTTGCCTCTGAAAAGTATTTAGATAATGGATCGCTGCCCTAAAAAACTAGAAACAAAGGGCTTAAATTATCATCTCTGACGTTTAATACATTTCAAGATTATTGAACCAGATTCTCTTCCTATGACTCACTTTATACTTCCTAAACCAACATTAATTTACCTTTTAAGATACCTGACAACTTCGGGGAAAGAAGTATAGAGCATATAAAAATTTATTCATAAGGTTCCAGTCATTGCTGTTTTTAAAAGACAAATCTGTTAGCTTCTCATTCAAAGGTCAGCCTCTTCACCCTCCCTTTAATGTTAAACATGCAATTTCTACAGGACTAAGAAGGAACAATTTTTAGAATATATATATATTTTTAATTGAAGTATAGTTGATTTACAATATTATATTAGTTTCAGGTGTACAATATAGTGGTTCCATATTTTATAGATTATACTCCATTTAAAGTTATTATAAAATAATGTCTGTATTTCCCAGTGCTGTACAATACATCCTTGTTGCTTATTTATTTTTTACATAGGAATTTGTGTCTCTTAATCTCATACCCCTATGCTACTATTGGGTGGGCCAAAAAGTGCCTTCAGTTTTTTAAGTAAAAACAAAAGATACACGTTTCATTTTCGCCAAGAACTTTATTGAACAATATACTCACAATTTTGTTCCACTACCTTCTGCCACTTTTCAGGCAACTTCATAATTTCATCTTCCCAAAACTTTTTATCTTTTTGAGCAAAGAACTGTTCCAGGTGCTTTTTACAGTCTTCCATTGGAATTGAAGTTTTTTCCATTAAGAGAATTTTGTAAAGAGCAAAATAAATGGAAATCCGAAGGTGCAATGTCTGGTGAATATGGAGGATGAGTCAGAACTTCCCAGCCAAGCTGTAACAGTTTTTGCCTGGTCATCAAAGAAACATGTGGTCTTGTGTTATCCTGATGGAATATTATGTGTTTTCTGTTGACTAACTCTGGACACTTTTCATTGAGTGTCTCTTTCAGTTGGTCTAATTGGGAGCGGTACTTGTTGGAATTAATCATTTGGTTTTCCAGAAGCAGCTCATAATAGAGAACTCCCTTCCAATCCCACCATATACACAACATCACCTTCTTTGGATGAAGAACGGCCTTTGGTGTGCTTGGTGGTGGTTCATTTCGCTTGCCCCATGATCTCTTCTGTTCCACATTGTTGTGCAGTATCCACTCTTCATCGCCCATCACAATTTGTTTTAAAAACAGAACGTACTCATTGCGTTTCAGTAGAGAATCGCATGCGGAAATATGGTCAAGAAGGTTTTTTTGGCTTAACTGATGTGGAACCCAAACATCAAAGCGATTCACATAACCAAGCTGGTGCAAATGATTTTCAACTCTTGATTTGGATATTTTGAGTATGTCGGCTATCTCCTGGCTGGTATAACGTTGATTGTTCTCAGTTATTGTTTCGATTTGATCACTATCAACTTCAACTGGTCTACCCAACCGTGGAGCATCATCCAGCAAGAAATCTCCAGCACGAAACTTTGCAAACCACTTTGACATGTTTGATCAGTCACAACACCTTCTCCACACACTGCACAAATCTTTTTGTGAGTTTCAGTTGCATTTTTACCTTTCTTGAAATAATAAAGCATAATATGCCAAAAATGTTGCTTTTTTTCCTTCCATCTTCAATATTAGAATGGCTACACAAAAATTCACCAATTTTTATGTCTTTTTTAAAATGCATGCTGCTATGACAGCTGTCACAGACTGTCTAACAAAATTGTTTCAAATGAAGTTAAGGACAACTAAGTGCTACTAAAGCCATCTTATGGGGAAAACTGAACAAAACTTTTGGCCCACCCAATATATATATATATATATATATATATATATATATATATATATATACCACTGCTTTAACCATTCACCTATTCGTAGTCACTTAGTTTGCTTCCATATCCTGGTTATTGTAAATAGTACTGCAATAAACATACGGGTGCATATATCTTTTTGAACTAGTGTTTTTGTTTTCTTTGGGTAAAATACCCAGAAGTAGAATTGCTGGATTGTATAATAGTTCAATTTTTTATTTTTTGAGGAACCTCCATATTGTTTTCCATGACAGCTGTATCAATTTACATTACTACCAAGAGTGTACTAGGGTTCTCTTTACTCCAGATCCACACCAACATTTGTTATTTGTAGATTTTTTGTTGATAGCCATTTTGACAGATGTAATGTGATACATATGATGGAATACTACTCAGCCATAAAAAAGAAAGAAATTTTGCCATTTGCAACAACATTGGTGGACTCGGAAAGTATTATGCTAAGTGAAATAAGTCAAACAGAGAAAGACAAATACTGTATGATATCATTTATAGGTGGAATCTAAAAAAAAATAACAAACTAGTGAATACGCTAAAAAGAAAGAGACTCACAGATATAGAAAACAAACTAGTGGTTACCAGTGGGAAGAGGGAAAGAGGGGAGGGGCAAGATAGGGGTAGGGTATTAAGAGGTACAAACCATTATGTATAAACTAAATAAGCTATGGGGATATATTGTACAACACAGGTAATATAGCCAATATTTTATAATAACTATAAAAGGGGTCTAACCTTTAAAAATTGTGACTCACTATGTAGTACACCTGTAACTTATATAATATAGTACATCAACTATACTTCAATTAAAAAAATAGTGCTCTGCCTATGTTCTCTTCTAGAAATTTTATCATTTCACTTCTTACATTTAGGGCTTTAATCTATTTTGAGTTTATTTTTGTATATGGTGCAAGGAAATGTTCTAATCTCTTTGTTTTATATATAGCTGTCCTGTTTTCCCAGCACCACTTATTGAAGAGATAATCTTTTCTCCACTGTATATTCTTGCCTCCTGTTATAGATTAATTGACCATAAATGTGTGGGGTTTTTTCTGGGATCTCTATTCTGTTCCATTGATCTGTGTGTCTATTTTTGTGCCAGTACCATGCTATTTTGATTACTGTAGCTTAATACCTCAAGCTTTGTTCTTTTTCTTAAGATTGTTTTGGCAATTTGGGTTATTTTGTCGTTCCAAATAAATTTTAGGGATTATTTGTTCTAGTTCTGTGAAAAATGCCATGGATACTTTGATAGGGATTGCATTAAATCTGTAGAACGCTTTGGGTAGTATGGACATTTTAACAATATTAATTCTTCCAGTCCAAGAACATGAGATATCTTTCCTTTTTTTTTTTTGTATTGTTTTAAAATTCCCTCATCAATGTTTTATAGTTTTCAGAGTATAGGTCTTTTACCTCCTTTATTCCTAGGTATTTTATTCTTTTTGATGTGATTATAAATGGGATTATTT